GATCCGGATCGGTTTTTTGAAAGCCCGATCCGGGTCACCGATCCGTTTTTTAAACCATTGGTTTCACCATTTATTAAATGAATTGACTTCTTTTATGGAGGACCAATGAAAGAAGTGAGGAGAATTACATGGATTTTTTCAATGTTTTTGAAGGTACAATTCTACTCAGAGTTTATTCTTTTCCTCCTGGTAAATAGTAATAAGAAAATATGTCCACCATGGGATTAAAATTAGTGACTTGTGCATGCTGACATTTACCTTGGAGAAAAGCCCCCTCTTTTTTTTTTTTGGTTCATTCCTTGCCTTAGCTAGTTATACCAACTTAAAGGTCTAAATCTAATAGAGGAGCAAAAACAGATTGATTTTCCATGGTGGATTTGATCACAAGCAGAACATGAAGTGTCTCTTTGCTGAAACTCCTTTATTTCCACAGATGTTTAATAAATTGTACCCGAACAAGTTGTTATGGAGAATTCTTTTTTCCTTATAGCCCCATGCATGACATTAAGAAACTACATATTTAACTGATCCTTGCACCCTTAGAAAATGCTTTTTGAGATCCCTCCATGAGGTTGTTCATAATGCAAAAGAACCAAGACATTCTTCCTTCTTTTAACTAATAGAAAGTATTCGTGAGCTTTTAAATGGGTTCGAGTCTATTACTATATTGGAATGTCTGCTTAATGATATATTCATGTAAGATCTTGTTATCTGGTGCACTTAATAGTTTGTTGATGTGACTCAAGGATGTCTGTGAATGCTTTTACATTTTTTTCTGTTACAAACAGTGGCACTCATGCTTTTCTTTTCTCCTTTTTTTTTTTCCTTAACAGTATCTGTTCAGTGGAAACGCTTAGCTACCAGGAATGAACCACCCTTGGCTCGAGCGTATCATTCTATGACTTGTGTTGGTTCAAAATACTTGTTGTTTGGAGGTTATGATGGAAAATCAACGTATGGAGATCTTTGGTGGCTGGTACCTGAAGGTACTGTCTGGTCATTTCTTTGACTGTAAAGAAATAATTATTACATAGGCTGGATGAATCTTCTATAACCTTGGCTCGTTTATTTGAATAGTGAAGTTGTAAGGTAATAACATTTTATATGGTACATTGAACTTTTGCCCTGGTGAGCTGTTTAGTGTTAGGGAATTTGGCAAAGTGTGAAGATGTTATTTAGAGTTCTGGCATGTAGTTTAGAACTTATCAAATATAACTTACACATAGCATAAGGTCTTGAGAAGGGTCTAGTAACCTTATTGAGAAGGGTCTAGTAACGTTATTATATTACTCTGGATGACCTGTGGAAATGAATTTTACTTCCCTCATAATGTAGTCTAATAAAAGAATATTGTGATGCTTACAACTACACTATGCTTGGAAATCTTGGTAAATCACACAATTATTCTTAGCGAATTGTGGCAACTTTATAGAATAGTAGTACAATAAGATGTACTGATAACCATGTTCTTGCCATTTTAGTTTACTGCAGACACCAAGTAGTGATACAGAATGTGAAGTATGGTTTAGCTTTCCAAGTTATTGCGCTTCCTCAATGTAGATGATCGCAAAACCAAGTTATGGCACAAATCTAAGGAGTATGGTTTAACTTCTGGAGTATAATGGTGTGAAGATGATCCTCAATATTCACTAAAGAGTTTCTTCCACTTTCTACAGTAGTTCTAAAAGGCAAATAGGATCCATTAATGATATTTATGCATCCCCCATTGTGAAAGTGGGCCTAGTAAAAGATGCATATTACGAGCAGTATGTCAAATGTGTATTCCCTATACAATTTCCTTTTTGTTATACTAATTTCCCTTTTAAAATTTCGTGAAGATAGGTTAGTATTTAAAATGCCCTAAATTTCATTGTATGGTGGATGACATTTGGCCTAAATAGAGTTAGAAAAGAAAAAACACAAAAATATGATCAACATCGCAGATGAGGTGAATAGACTCAAGTGCTCCAGCCAATGCAACGTGGACCTAGAATAGCACCAGTTAGGAGGGACAATTTGGTGTAAGTAGAATGCTCTAAACTAGCAAGGGGAAGGCCCAAAAGAGCATAGATAGAAGTAGTGTGAAGAGATATGGTAACTTATGGTCTGACTGAGGGTATAGCCCTTGATAAAGCAGAATATTGGAATAGGATTTGTGTAGATGACCCCAAATAGTTTGGATTAGGCTCAGATGATGATGATGATGAACTAGCTGCTTTCATTTTGTATTCAAATGGGGATGCATAGAATATCAATGATATCAGGAATCACCTAGAGAGGTTAATCATCTTATGCAAAGTTGCAAACCTCATAATTTAGGCTGCATTTCCCTTCACTGCGCACTCACCTTTTTTAATAGAGTTCCTAGGCTTGTCATACCAGGAGAAGGGAAGACCACTAGTTGATATGGTTTTATTTTGTCCTTATAAGTTTAATTTCGATGTTTGAAACAGGATTTCAGGTTCAGCTAAGGTATTCAGGCATGTTTATGGTTGACTGAGCATGTCTATACAAGTTTGATTATATAGTGTGCAATGTTCGAAAATTCGGCTGCTCGCTTAGGCAGCCATATTCCTAAAATGCCTAGGCTAGTTAGGCAGGACAATTAGGCGGCCTGCGTCTAGGCTCCCACCTTGGCAGGCAAGGCGCCGCCTATGCGCTATAGTCTAGGCGGCCGCCTCGAGGCAGTTTGTCTAATAGAGGAAAAAACCCTCGGCTAGGGTCAAAATTTATCATTTTGCTTTTTGGGAGAATTCTAAACCCTCAAAACCAAATCCGTGCCATTTAGGGAGAGAAAAACTCCTTAAAAACCTCTCTTTTGTGATTTATCGAAAGATCAATAAATTTTCTATTTTTTCGATTTCTTCCCAAAACAAAGGCAATAGTTCTTCTAGTAGTCGATTTTGAAGACTTTAGACGACCCAATAGATGAGGTTTGCACTGACATCGATTTGATTTTTAATATTTTTAAATTATTATCATTTTTTAATAAGGGTTTTGATTTGTTTTTGCAATAATATATTATGTTGTGAATTATTTGTTTTTTCTTTTAATGTTTTTTTCTTTTATGATATATTGACATGTTTGTAGTTGAAAGATTGAATTTTTCGTGATTGTTGAATTTTTCCTCATTTGGACAATGAAATTGGGCATATATCATATTCTTTTATGAATAGTTGATTCCTTTTTTATACAATGTGTTAATGTTTTGATATACTATTATTTTTGTTTTAATTTATTTGATAAATTAGTAATTATTTATCTTATTGAGTTAAGTCTTCTGTGAAGTTATATAAATTAATAATTATGTTATATCTTTATCTTTATTATTATGTTTTATCTTATTGAGTTAAGTCTTCTGTGAAGTTATATAAATTAATAATTATGTTATATCTTTATCTTTGTTTTACTTTTTTGGTACCCTGTTCCTAGGCGAGTGGCTAGGCAACCAGGCCCCCGAAAGGCCTAGGCGGGCGCCTGCACTTTCTTGAACATTGATAGTGTGGGACTTAGTAGTTACAAGAGAGATGCATTCTTGTAGGATTATAGGTTTCATTTTTATCCATTTCATGCACTTTTGGGAGATTGTAGGGGATAACCCCAATTTATATAAGCGGTCTGAGCAAGAATAGTAATCTCCCTGGCTTCTCAATGTACTTATTTTGGTGCATCTCGTGATCTTTATTGACACATTAACATTATGAGAAGTGACCATTAGCTCAGGTGGAAACAATTGGCTATTGGGGTGTGTTTTGGAATTTGGATCATCATAAATCGAAAATGTGGCATCATGCTGAAGGATAGAGATACATCAGCCCAAATATGGCACAGAGCCCTTGGAGTGGACATAACTGGCCATATCTACCCTCGAACATGGCACAAAGCCCCAGAGGTGACCATATCTACCGTTAAATTTTGGCACAAAGCCCTGAGGGTGAAGATCACAGTTCTTCCACAGTCTACAAACCACATAGTGCAGGTTCTGCAAGGAAGACTAGTCATCTAAACCATCTAGCGGTCAATATGCTATACAAGCCAGTCCGCCTGTCCACATATAGCCATTTCAAATTAGACTGAAATGGAAGAAACTTGGGGGAATCTTCAAATCAGGGTGGGAGGAACCTCCTTGCCACTTCTTATCAAATTTGGACCATCAGGCGGTGTACTTGCTCTATAAAGTTGAACCGCTGGTGATATGAGACTTTCCTCAAGACCCACCCTCATATGGTCTCAGAATGGGATGAAACTTCGAGGGTCTTCAAGATATGGCTAGAATAACATTTCCACCAATTTTCATGGAATTTGGACATTTTAGCGGCACACATTCTTTGTAAGACCAGACTCTTAGTTGGTGTGAACAGGGAACCATATAAAGGGGTATCATATCACACGGTCTCCAATCAAAATGAAACATTGTGGGTTTTTAATCTAGAGGATTTCAAGCATATCCTCAAAATTTCAGGTCATTTGGATACCATTGGACCCAATTTTTTAAGAAATAAAGTTGTTCGAGACTGTCGGTCATTTTAATGGCTGCCTGACCTTCAGACTGTCGATGGTTATTTTCTCCATATTTTTGGGTTTTTTGGGCTGAAATTTGTTGGCAATAATGCTCTTTCACTGCTCTACAAACCCATATAAGCATTAGGATGAATCATTCCAAGATCAAAGAATGAATCATAGATCAAATTGAAAGTCAAAGAAATGGTCTGCTGTATAATGAGAAACTGTGCTCGATGGATGCAAAACTCCAATGTTTGGAACAATTCTTGTTTGGGATTCAATTCCTTGGACACTCAAAGTCAATTCTTCATCATCTCATGCAAAGGACGTGGCACAAAGGCACACCAAATAAACAGGATAGGGTGCAACTTCCATCAAGCCTAACCGCTAGACCGCCGGTCATTTAACTGCAGTTTGGCCCAAAAAAATCTTGGGCAGAATGAGGAAATTTTGAGGGATCTGGCCCTTCAATCTTGCCCATAAGTTTCCTAGGCAGGAGTAACCCTAATTTTCCTATCCTTGGCCTATAAATACCCCTTTGCCTTAGGGAAATGTGGCCGATGGAGACAGAGCTTTTATAACAAAAAATAGCTTTCATCAAGAGCCTTCTAAGGACTTAGAGAATAGATAGAAAGCTCATAACAACAGAGAATTTTAAGAGATCTTAGGAGATATTGAATGAGAGCATCCCCATGTGAATTCAAGTCTTGAGATCAATTTTTAGTGTAGAGAAGATCAAGATCCTAGCTCCTTTTCGAGGTGCAAAGGAGAGGAAGAGGAATGCAGCAGAGGTATAGCCCTACCTTACATTATATACGCAAGTCATATGCAGTGGGCTTCGGGTTGTATCTAATTCTGTGCTTTTGCTTTGATTTTCTACTTTTTCCATAGTGTTTTGAGAGACCCGATCAAGGTTGTTCCTCTCCCACTGAGCACTTGCTGTAAAAGAAACGGGTTGCGCACAAGTGCTTGAAACTCTTCCTGAACCCATAAATTTTTATCAATTATTTTGAGAATTTTATGGTGGATTTGTGTGTTTCTCTGGTTTTTCATCAAAACCTCTCATAAAACATGATTTTTCCATTGATCACTGGCTAATAATGTGGCTTGGTGGAGAATGGAAAGGCTTGTTGGTATGATTTCCAATGTGCATTCCCTATTCCTTACGAGTTGGTTACTATTAGTTTCCAATGATATTCCCATTAGCACTAAAAACAAGTATATATGGTTAGAAAATACAAGTTGCCTTTACTTTTAGAATAATGGTTGTTCACATTGGCAATCGAGTATATATATTTTCTGCCATCAGTCTCTCATGGTTCAGATATTTTACTTTGTTTGCAGATGACCCTATTGCAAAACGATTTGTCCCAATTTCTCGTGACCATATTCCTGAAAGTAATCAAGCCTTAGACTCAAGAGATTCTGTAACTAAGGTAGTGCATCTTTAACTTCAAATATATATATATATATATATATACGAAAAAGTTTATATAATGTTGCAACCTTAAAATGTAGAATTACAGATGCACCTCAAAAATCTATCGGAAAAGGTTTATTTTACTGTTAAATAACCCTTTAATTGATCATCTCGACATCGAGATGTATGAAAATTAAAAAAGAAAAAATTTGAGTCCCATAAATAGTGCATCTTGCAATACATTATCTAGATCGTCCATTTTCAAAACTTTCATATATTTATAGATCTACTTGATTTTAACCATTTTTGGAGTTTACAAATTTATAATTAGATATAAAAATAGATTTTCAGATAATCCTAAGAATTTTTGCACCAAAATTGCATGTTATGATAAAATTTGGAGGTGTGCCTTAATTGAATTGTTGGAGGTTGCAACCTTATAGAAACCGCACTATATATATATATAATATATATATGATATATATTTTAGTGCCTTGGTGAATTTCAAATATGCATTCCATAATGTGTTTGCAACAGGAAAACCAGGGGGATGCATCGCCAATTGCAGAACTACAAAAAAGACTTGAAATTCCTATCTCCCCATCTTTAATTAGCAACCTTAGTGTTCTCGATGTTTCAAGTGACAGAGAATATCTGGACCTTTCATCAAGGATAGCAATTAAAGAACAAGTTGCATCTGGTGATCCAGTTGCTTTAATTCAGGTCTGAGTATTCCCGACTTAAATGGGTGTTTCATTGATTCTTTGAAGAGGTTCTTAATGGGCTCAAGTCATTGGTGGTTAGGGTGATGGGTGTCATAACATGACATCTTGATTTCCATTCCTACCACAGGGAGGGGATCCTTCCCCCGTGATATACCTAAAAGAAATAGGTTACTTAGGTGAATTCGGAGTTTTTCTATTTTTGTGATAAAATAGGTGAGTGGAGTTTGGTTTATAATATGGTTGGAAACTTGATGACTTATGATTAGGCTCTTCGGCAACATTGGAAGACATCCACAGCCAGGTCAATACAGCTGCGGGAACTAGGCCCTTTGCTTCAAGATTATCATCGTCTAATTATCCAATCCCAAAAGTATGCCCCTCTCTCTCTCTCTCTCCAATACACATTTTATAGTATACATTCCCTTTTTCTGAGCATGAAAGGTACCAAGTTGAAGTTCACAGAGCAGGGGTCTCATGGTTTAACACACACACACATATATCATGGTTTAACACATAAATACATACATGAATGCT